TCTTGTGCATCACCTTTATTCTTAAAAATAGGAATTAACACACTCATTCTCCACTCATCTGGCATCTTTTTAGTCTTCAAAATAGAAGAAGATAAATTTTATTGAGGGGCTGAAAATCATAGGCTTTAAGCTTTTTAGCAGAAATAGGAACCCCAAGGTATTTCAAGACATGGGAAGACGAGGTGATTAGAGAAAACCACATATTTTTTGTTGTGATTGATATGAAGACTGGAATAAGCATCTTCAATGTGTCCCTAAGAAGCTAAGCATTATGAACTTTAGCATTCCCAAAGACTAGTAAATCATCCGCACATAGTAAATGAGAGAAATTTTTGCTCGAGCAAGAATACCATAAAAAGGACTATCACCACTAGAATTCTCAAATAGGTTGGAGAAAACATTTATTATAATACAAAATAGGTAAGGGGATAAATGATACCTCTGTCTTAAACAAGAGGTAGAGCCAAAAAACCCTTTAAGGGCCCCATTGAGGCAGACAGAGAAGAAAACATCCTCCAAACAGCCTCTCATCTAGGAAATGAACACCTCTCTGAGTCATTCTAGCAAGTAAAATTCTCTAAAAATAGTATCAAAAGCTTTATGATATAGCCGGTCTCAATTTGAACGACAACAAAAGGCATTGGATGATATAGTCGGTCTCAATTTGAACGACAACAAAGGCGGCATTGGCCAAAAGCCATTAGAAATAATTTCATGGACTTTCGCATAAGTAGGTTTCCTGAATAATTGAAAGGCATTGGTGTCCATCAAGTCAACAATTAACTTACCATGAATCCAAGGGCCCCAATACAAGAAAATTGTCAGTTTCTAATAACAACAAAGAATGTTCAATTATTACTTTTTTATTGGCAATGAATTATAAGGCCTTTCAAAGAGGGGAGGCAGATGTGAGAGTTAGCTCAAATCGAGCCGTAGATATTGAAGAACTAATTAGTAATTATAGAATTTGAACCGTAAATTCTTCCAATCATCTCAGCTTTGAAGATAATATGCATAATATCAAGAGAGCAGAGACCCAACTCTTCTTTTTTTCCTTGGAAAGGATAGAATCTTGCTAAGAAAGAATGTGCAACTTCTTCCAAAAATTATCATGAAATAAGAACTTTGTAATAAAGAGCTAATCTTTTTAACGAATCTTTGAAGAAGATAGCCGACCAAAACAAAGAGAGAAAAAATTCTACATAGCTGATGTCACGACTTGAACTCTTTCACCAAAACCTAAGAGCTTTTATCTTCACGCACAAATAGATGGAACAGAAATAAGAAGCTTTTTAAACAGCCAAATTTAGAAAAATTAACCGCACTAGCCAGAAATCAACAGAAAGGGAAGAAGTGGTTAGCGCTACTATAGCGAAGCACTGTAGCAAACTGAATAAAGCTACTATGCTGCTGTAGCGATACTGTAGAAGCTGAGGTAAGCAAAAGGAGAGGAACCATTTGTCTTCTTCTTGTCACAAAAAAAAAATTTATGTTTCGTTTGGAACGATTTTTTTATTGCTTTCTAAAACAGAGTTTTAATACAAAAATAAAAAAATTTGTACTAAAACTCGATTTTAGAAAGAAATAAAAAAGCCATCCCAAACGAAGCCTTAGAATACTCTGAATTGAAGGCATGTCAGTATTCATATGTTACTCTTAGGTGATCTACAATTTAGAATTATGACAGAATTTTTCAAGACATTCCTACCATAAATGCTTTATAAAAATTTTAGGAGATTTCATTATATTATAGATTTTGTTATGTATCTATATACTGAATATTTAAATTTTATTATTTGTTTAGATAATATTTTCATTTATAAATCAAATCAAAGAAAAAATTAATATTATATATATATATATAGAGAGAGAGAGAGGGAGAGAGAGAGACAAATGTTCTATGAGCAAATATAAATATTTAGTTGTTGGACATGTAAATACATAAAAGTTCTGTAAATGTATGTAAACCCTCTAAATTTTCATGATGATTGATATGTCGTACAAAAATTCATCAAGCAAGCATAAATTTTGATGCAAGAAAAATTGATAATTAATTTTAGAACCATACGAACATTGATTTTAGAAAACTTATAACTGAAATGAATGTATCAATAAGATAAACCCATAGATCCGAGTCCCAACAAGTTCAAATCAAACAGTTAAAAGTGTTCCTAGAAATTTCTTTGCATTAGTTGAATGGCCAAATATTTGGCTTTTTTTTTTGCATATGTATGGTGAAAATGAGCATTCGAAACAAATCCAAGATATTTCAATTTCAGGGCCATTGAGGCACTTGAAGAATATAAGAATTATCTATGATTAAATGAATCAACTGAGCTCTTTGATGAAGTATTTTGTGATTTTGGTTGGGTTTAATGAAATTATATTCTTAGAAACTATAAATAGGTCACTATTCTCCACATGATAGTGACGTGGAATTGATATTGGAGAGTACTTGGAGATTTGAAGAACTCTAGAGCTCTAAACGATGTTCAACGTCAATGATCACTGCAAGCCACCACCATCTTCCAACTGCCATTACTCATTAACCATCGTCTAATTACCATTAACCGGCTTTCATACCCCATTTATTGATCTCTGATGACTATTGTTTGATTGTCATAGCCCATTCAACTACACTTGCTTGGCCATTATCACCCGTTCATCATCATCTAAACACTATCGTTAAACCATAATCATCCACTAGACGTAGTTCAAACATCATCACCCTCTTGCCAATGTCGAACTAACATCATTTGATCGCTGTCATCATCATTCTATTACATCCTAAATATTCTCTGCCATGCAAAATTATAGGAAGTCAAACTTGTATTACAAACTTAGCAATCTCGCCTTTTCTAGTTGTCTTGAAGATAAGATTCTTAAAATATTGTTGATAGAGGGGAACATTTCAACTGGACTTTCTTTCATGTTTAGCCACATAAAAACTCTAATTTTTCATGTGTGCACTCTATTGCAATCCATGACCCCTAGTTTGAGCTTTTGATGATGACAAATAATATCGTCTAAACTTTTATTCATTGAATATCTTTTAATTTCTGCTATTGTCTATGAGTACTAACATTTCAGGAAGATCACGAGTTATTCAGGACAATAGGAAGACCCGAGAATGGGTAGAGTAGGAGTGTGAGTCTAAAACAATGTAATTTTCTATTTATTTATTTTTCTTTTCTTGAGTTTGGCCATAAACTGTATGTAAGTCTGAGCAACCATGCACACACACAGGGAGAGAGGGTTTTAAAAGAAAAATAGAAGAAGATTTTTCTCCGTTGATCGTACTATACGACTTTATATCATACTGTACGATCTGATGTTGTAAAATAATTTTATGTGAACAGATCGTACTGTACGAACCATATCGTACGGTACGATGTGTTACAAATCCAAAACCCTAGCCGCCAGACTAGTTTAAGAAAGTTCTATTAGTCTTTCGTACTGTATGATTTATTTTGAATACTTACTTAAATTAATCCGTGATTAGCGGAGTAAATCAAGGTTTAATCACTGATTGTTACTCGTTATGTACGAACATGTTCATACTATATGATGAACAGAGATGAGTTTTGATCGTCTCGAACTTTGTCCTGGACGATCTCCTGTTTTTGCTTAATCGTACTATACGATGTATATCGTAACATACGATGTACAGAGACGAGTTTCGATCGTCCCGGAATTCGTCCTGGATGATGCCTTAATTTTTACAATTCGTATTGTACTAAGTAGGTCGTACCCTAGAATGCACAGAGACGAGTTTTTATCATCTCGACTATTGTCCTGTACGAACAGAAGAGTTGATGATCGTACTGTACGATTGTAAATCGTACTGTACGAATATATTTAGAAGTTTTTGAACTATTCATAAACCTTCATACCAGGATGAAGCCTGTTATAAAAATCGTACTATTCGATGGTAAATTGTATTGTACGATAGTAACGACTACTTTGAAAATTTTAGGGATTTTGGAGCCCGTTTTAAGTATCAAATAGTAATGTTTTTGTGAGAGACAGAAAGAGGGGAACGTGATTAGAGAGAGAATCCTTGGGAGAGAGCTCTTGAGAAGTTTTTGGGGTTTGAGAGAGGAAGGAGAGGGTGAGCTTGGTGAGGTAGAAGTAGTGTGAGGGAGATCACGCGGTTGCTTCGTTCTTGCTGCATCTTGCTCCTCCAATGGCAAGAGAAGAACTTGTGGGAGGCTCTCTAAGGGGGAGACTCTTCTACATCCGTGACCTCGATGGTACTCTGCCTTCTCCAGGAGGGAGAAAAACAAGAAGGTTCGCTGCCGTCGCTAGGAGGGTGAGAAAAGCGATTGGTACTTCGCCACGCCAGGTTGGTGAAAGTGAGTCTTGTGAGGGCTTCTCCGCCTTGCCGAGGGGGCAAAAGAAGAACTATAGTTTGTAATGAAATTCCCTGAGTGGAGGACTCCGGGGAGTGGACGTAGGTCATGGTTTGACCGAACCACTATAAAATTATGGTATGCTTTTTCCTTATCGCTTTTTATTTTTGCTTGCACTTTATTTTCATTATATTTGCTTGGTGATAATTGTGAAAGAAAAAGAATTTCATTGTTTCATGTTGAGTTCAATTAATTGCTTTCATATTACTTAAAGTTTTCTTGTTAAAAATTTAAAAACACAAAAAAATATTAGAACTCTTGCTTAGGATATTAATTATTGCAACAAATTTCGCAATTCACCCCCCCCCCCCCCCCCTCCCCCTTGGCGATCTAGTAATTTCGCACTCTTCTCTTTATTTGAGTGTATGTAAGATCTATATGTAAAGGTAGAAGTAAAACTCTGACTCTATTACCAACAATTTTCTAACAAGCATTGAAAAAAAAAAATGTAAGATAGTATATTAAATTTTAGAATGGAAGAGCGATCATAAGAAGGTGGGATGAAAAAGACACACAACCAATTATAATAATGTTTCTTAATTTATAAATATGAGTTTCATAACTTTAGTAATCAAAATAAAACTTTTTAGAGAAACAAATATAACTCATTTAAATGCCATATATATTTGTTTCTCCTCCTCTCAATATTTCGCTATTTTCCTCCATTTTTCTGTCCTCTAATATCCTTCCCCAACAAAACACCATGAATCCTTACGGAGAAGACAACTTATTCTGCTATTTCCACCCAAAGGAATTTCTTGTAGGAGTCTGTGCTCTTTGCTTGAAGGAAAGGCTCCTCATCCTCGCCTCAAAGCAAAGTCACGTTCACCTTCCCAAAAATGCTAATAATGTCTTCCAAGGGCTGAGGAGAAAGCCTTCCATAGCCCTTCCTAAAGTCTTTGCTTTAGGCTCTTTCTTCCACCGCTTTGAAGCTCGAAATCAAAATCCAGATGAGGAAAACAACGAAGAAGGCTCAATCACCAGCCATGAAGGCATTAATCTTATTCTATCTCTTCATTGATTTCCTTAAATTTTTATATTTTCTATGCCTGAGATTCTATTGTGACTTGTTTCAATATAAAGTTTTCACAAGACAGAATGACACTCATCATATCCAAGAGAAGTTTTAGCACTAAGCTTCAATGATTTTTTAAATCTGGCTTCAAGTCTGCATGCTGATTATACTTATATCATGAACTAAAATTGATTGCTTCATTAAAAAAATTTTCTTTCACAGATCATTACAAGACAGTACTGATTGAACATCATCATATGGATTATCAGACATAACATTAATCGCTATTTCTGATGTTTTGGATGTTAAGATTCTGGAAAAGTTGATTTCATTATTCTTTCATTTTTTTCTCTGCCTAGATTTCTGTTATAACTCGTTACAATTCAGAGTTTTCAGATAATGACTGAAAGGGATTCATCATATCCTATAAAAGATTTCAAAGATTTTTTAAATCTGACTTCGAATCTGTTTTGTTTATACTTTACATCATAAAACTAAACTCAATTGCTTGATAGAAAAATCTTCCTTCACAGATCATCACATGACAGCTCTATTTGCACATCATATAGTTCATCATACATCTAGCTAACTTTAATTGCTGTTTTCTGAATCTGCTGTTTATACTCTATTAGACGAAACTGAAATCATTTGCTTCAATAGAATATTCTTTTCCTCTACAGATTATAACTTGAAAGCACTAATTGAAGATCATTATATCATCATAAAGCTAGCTAACATTAACTGCAAATTTCTGAAGCTTTGAATGTTGAGATTCTGATAATCTTGATCTATAACTTATGTATATTTGGTTAATTATTTGGCTTAGATTCTTTCATATCAATAAAGTTTGAGCCTGATGGGCGTGGATCTTGGGAGAACGTGAAAAACACAAGTGAACGGTCGTCATGGCTTGCCAGTGGAAAGGAAGATAAGTTGAAGGAGATCAACGGAAGGATAAACAGTGTGGTGGAGAAAGCGAAGCTGCAAAGTGGGCTTAGATGGCGCAAGAAGATTGGACAGTTAATCCAACTGGCTCGCTGGATTAGGTCCAGCAAGGCTGGTGTATCTCATACAGGAATTACAAGGAAGGTGGAGAGAGTCAGGGGAAGAAGGGGTTGGATAAGAAGCTTGACAAGGAGGGCTATTTCATCCACAGATTAAGGAACAGCAATGTTACATATATTATCATTTTATATTTATATTTACTGTAAATAGAAGATAAATAGAATGTATAATGTTTGGTTAAAAAGATAATATGATCGTATGTGTTCATGCAGATCAAAGTGAGAATAATTGCCCATCACTGACCTCCTCTCGCCATCTCATGCACCCCTTTCTGCAGCCCCACCTTCCCCTTCTGGCACTCCACTTTTCAGCCTCATAATGAATGTAGAAGAAGATGATTATGATATGAGAAATAAAGCTTCGATCTTGTGCTTGATTTTCTTGGCAAAAAAAGCTTTGCTCTTTCATATAATGTTATCTTGCTTGAAAATTACTTGGTTAATAACTAGAACGCCACACCTACCACTTGTGATAAGTTTTTGAGGCTAATAAGAGTGAAATACGAGGCAAAATGAGAGTGAATTCAAAGAAACTACTATCGCATTGGTCTTCGTACATGTAGGGACAAGATTGTTTCTTGAAATACGAGGCAGAATCTTGATCATATTGACAACCACAATCTTAGAGAGCATAATAAAATCCCAATCAGTATTTTTTTGCTTTGATTAAATTCCCAATGAATTGATGATGACTACCCAAATATAAGGATTCAATAGTTCATTTTCTTAAATTGGTGTTAGCTTCATAAATAATCAAGTTTTGCATTGAATGTGTAATTTATTTTATTAAATTATTATTTTAAATATTGATATATATATATATATATATTATAATATATATTATATATATATTATAAATATATAAATATATATATATATATATATTATATATATATATATATATATATATATATAATATATATATATATCATATTCAAATTTTGAAGTAATACGTTTGTGATGTGTTATATAACTTTTAAATATATTTAAATTTAAAATTGAAACTTATAAATTAAAATTACATCATGTGTAATATTCAAATTTAAAATATTTATAGTCTTATTGTCATATTTCAAATATGTATAAATTAAAATTCAAGATGTACCACAAGAGAACAATATAATACTCCGAATACTATTTATGTTTCATGTATACTAATTTATTGTATATAAAATTAAATATATTAGTCTAAAAAAATTGCATGCTAGAATATTCAAGGTAATGGAGAAAATAGTTTAACTTCTTAGTTTTATATAAAGATCCATCACATATAAAGATAAAAGACAAGAGATACAAACTTTTATGTGAAAAATAAAAAAGGAAAAAAAGCAATGGAGGTTAACCCAATTGAAATAATTCTGGTACTGTATGTCGTTAGTTACAATTAATCCACTTCTTCATAATCAACGGATGGTGTGATACTGTCGAAACCCAACCTAATATGACCCATATATATGACATGTCATATCATGTTGAATGGTGATAGGCCAAGCCCATGATCAAAGTTTTGGAGACATTTTAGATTTTTTTTTTTAAATTAAACATATCACAGAGCTTCTTATTAAGTTCTACTAAGCATAAACATAACCTCATTCATAAATTTCTATTATTTTCATTCATCATCAAAATGTCTATACAACAACTAGACACTATAGGACATTGCTACAGACCATAATAGAGCATAAATAAATAGCCATGATTGAATAAAATTAAAGAATACCTATCTAGATTCAGAGAAATCTAAACATGCAACCTCACCCTTTCCTTGACCTAAAATAGAATAGTGAGGAGGTGTGAGCCAACATAGCCTAGAAGGTTATGCCCACTGACCTCATTGATCAAGTATTTCACATTTTATTATTCACTTAACTAAGTTTAAAAATAGTTAATAACAATTCTCAATACTAAACAAAATAATGCTAGCTTGTAGGTATAAAAATTTTAAATAACAATTCAAGAAAAGTAAATAAATTAGAATAAAATTAACAGATTTTCCTCATGCTCTTATACCTTTCATTAGAAACATTTATCAAAATTCAAACCCTTATGACTTTATGTGCAAGGATATCAGAAATAGGCCCTTAAGGCTCTTAATGCTTAGCACATATCAGATTTTTAGAATTCAAACCCTTATGACTCCTTATATATCCAGCATAACAAAACTTCCTCTAACATCAAAGCATCATAAAATCACACATTTCAACAAGCTAAGCATATATATCATATCATTGCAGTAAAAAAATATAAATATACCATTTTCAAAATGTATAAAATACTTTATGAGTAGGCAACAAATTCAATTATTGAGCAGAATTTTATAGTTTCAAAATTTCACCAAATTTCAAGTGATTATTCAAAATACTATTTGACAGCTTTAATTGCAATATAACATTATTCCCTAATATCAAAATTATTTTTAATTGGATAAAAATGGTTCACTTTTTAGTTTACTTAGCAATTTTTTTTTAAAAAAATACCTAAATGTTCAGAATGATTATATTTAAGACATAGAAAGTTACTCATTAAAAGTTTAGTGTGTGTGGAAGTTATTCTTGTTTTTTAGGCAATGAAATTATAATTTAAATAAAAAAAAGATTTTGTATTTTTAAGAACTAAGCTAGGTGAAATGTAACCTACCTCAATCAGAACAACTTACAAAATTAGGCCGATGATAGAAAATATATTAGAGTTACTAAAAACTCAACTTTTTCTCACTAAAAACCCTTTCTCTAAATGGTTGAAGTGGGGTTTAATTTTTTTTTTTGTAAAATACAAATCATGGATTTTTACATTTATCTAAGAATTTGATCGAATGTCGTAGGACTCTTCATATGAGAGCATGACATTGCAGTTTTCTAAAATTATTAGAGAGCTCAATATTGCAACACTGCTAACTAAAGGTTGCAGTACTCCTAGGGGAAAAAAATTAGGTTTTTATTCAAGCACACAGATCCCTGAGGCCCATATTAAATAGATTCAAACATTCACATGCATTTATAACACTCATTGACACATGCAGAAGGTACAATGAATGCAAAAATTCACTTCATTGTTCTTACCAGATCAGGTTAGAACAAGTACAACTGCATCTTACTTTTTGATATTACAATCCTCCCATTCTCAGAAAAATATCATACTCAACATTTCAAAACTTAAATTGAGCAAACAACATTTTCATCACAATTTCTTTTTTCCAAGTTGCTTCTTTCTCTACTATGTGTTTCCATTGTACCTTAACCATTGAAATATGCATTCCTTAAATTTTTAATATTATAGACCAAACTGCCCTTACTCCTTTTTTCCTCTTCTCTACAACTCAGATTTGGATGCATTTCAACTTCATATGTAGATACTCTTCTAAAATTAGATGCCCATTTTCTCAGAGATGACATGTGGAATACTTTATGAATATTATACATATGGTTTGAAACTAACCTATAGGTGGATTTTCTAATTTATTTAATTATTTCAAATGGTCCAAATTACCTTGGACTCAATTTCCTTCCTTTCATAATCCGATTACACACTTCAATGGTATACTATTTATATATACAAAATATGTAAACTAAAATCTCACAGTTTGGCGCTTTGCATCATAATATTATTTTTTCCTATTCTATGCTGCTTTAGATCTATCTCTAATTAGATAGATCTTTTTAATAGCATCATCAACTAAAGCTAGCCCTATCAGACTCCTCTCTCCCATTTCTATCCAAGATAATGAGGTTCTACACTTTATATCATATAGAGCTTTATAAGAAGCCATACCTATGGTCGACTAAAAACTATTATTATAAGAAAACTTGATTAGAGGAATGTGATCCTCCCAACTTCCACCAAAATTTTAAACACATAATCTTAGAAGATCTTCTAATACCTTAATAATCCTCTAAGATTATCCATAAATACGAGGATAAAATGTCATACTAAAGTGTTGTTTAGTACCCAAACCATATTGAGTACTCCTCTATAACCTGGAGGTAAATATGTCATCTCCATTAGAAATTATCACCATTAGTATTCCATCCAGTTAGGTAATCTCTTAAACATACACATATTTCAACCTATCCATCGAATCAGCATGTTGGATCATAATTAAATGTGCATCAGATGATCTACCACAACCAATATAACATTTATCCAAGCATTAATCTAGAGAATTCGATAATAAAATCTTTCAACACTCCTTCCCATTTTCACTTTGAAATAGGTACCAGTTATAAAAGGCCTTATAGTCGTTGATGCTCAACTTTTATTAACTGGAAGGTTTCACACTTAGTAATAAGATTTACTACATCCTTCTTCAATCCGGGCCACCAGAATATACATTTTTAGATCAATCTATGTCTTGCTTCATGTAGAATCACTTATCTCAGACCTCTAGAGCTATGAACATAAACTTTATTCTTACAAAAAATGATACTAAACTTAGATTATAGTAGTTCAAGTTTCTTACTAGACTTGTTTATTCAATCATCTTCAAACACTCTTGATCTAACTTCTGGGATTCCTGAATCCTTTCTTTTATATATGATTGGATAATCATCTAAGTTAAAATACTAGAATTTTGAATAGCAAGATCAATTACTTCTAACTCTAACTTTTTCATATCTTAAATAAGAAGAGCTTCAGAAGTAAGTAGAAGGCTTAACACTCTAATAGACTTTCTACTCAAAGTGTTTACTACTATATTTATCTTACCAGGTTGATATTGAATAGTTAAATCATAATCCTTTGCTCAAGCCATGTTCTTTGCTTGCAAATCAAATCCTTTTGAGTAAATATGCACTTCAAACTTTGAAGATAAGTGAGAATCTCACATCCAACTTTATAGAAGTATTGCCTCTAGATCTTCAAAGAAAATATAACAACAACAAGCTCAAAATGATATGTTAATAATTCCTCTCATGTGGCTTTAACTGCCTAGAAATATATGTTATAAACTATATGTGTTGCATTAGAATACATATTAATCCTTTCAATGAAATATCACTAAATACCTGAAATCTCTCTATACCTAATGGGATAGTAAAAACAGGAGAAGATGTTAAATAGTTCTTTAATATTAAAAACTTGCCTCATAATTAGACGTCCAAATGACAATGACTGACTTCTTAGTTAGCTTTGTTGGAGGTGCAAAAATCTAGAAAATATTTTCACAAATTTCCTGTAATAGTTAGTTATACCTAAAAAATTGCATACTTCAAACACCGTAGTAGGCATTGGGTAATAAGTAACAGCTAATTAATAAAAACTTGAACCTTCTAGATATCTACCTAAATGCACGCATTACTCACCACATGCCCTCTAAAGGAGATACTATGTAGTTAAAATTTATACTAGGAGAATTTTACATACAACTTATGCTGCCTCAGCATCCAGAATAATCCTTAA